CGAGACAAACAAAAGCAGAGCCAGACGCCATGGGGAGGAGGCTGGGCCTGCTCCCCTCCTCCAGATCCCGCAGCATCCCCGCAGGCAGGCAGACAGACGGATGCCCGCCTTGGGGGAATGGGCAGGGACACCCCTATTTTTAGCTGCCTCTGCATCCCCACCCCCTTCCTTCCGTGGGCCAAAAATACACTGGATGGACAGGCAAAATCATTATGATAAAAGAGTTGTCCAGGCCTTGTGTCCAACCACTCCCCTGGCTTTCACCTCTTCCCTTTGGCCAGGACAGGTTCCTCGCGCATGGTCTCCCTCTCCCCCATGGATGACTTATCTCTTTGTCCCCATCCCTCGCTCCCTATATCCCCACATCTCCTCTCCTCACATCTCAGCCTTCCTCATCCCCACACCCTGATCCCCGTCTGCTCCATGGATGCATCCCCCACTGCTTCATAGTCCTCTCTCCCATGCCATGCCAGCGCTGGGGACATACTCCCTTCTATTGAGACCTTCCAGCTCCTCCTTTCCCCAAAGCACCTTCCCCCACCTCCTCACACAATTCATCTCCAAAAGGCTCTTTGCCCTCAGAGCCCCCCACACTTTCCTGTTCCTCAATCCCATCCTCTGTGCACCCTTTCTCCCTGCTGCATCCCTCCTACTCTCACCATCTCCCCCTTTCCCTCCTTACCCCAGCAACCTCCATCCCACCTCCCTCCAGCCTGCATGGGCTTTAAACTCCTGCAGGTGTGCTCCCCCTCCTTGTCCTGCTGAGGAAATGGCAGGGGAGGAAATTTGGGGGAGGGCAAACAGACCCCCAGATGCCCACCCCAGCACAGAGTTGCTTTTCCAAGCAGCTCCAATTGATATCTGAGCCCCCCAGTCCCTCCTGTACCTCCTTAAGGTCTATGAAAAGGAGCTGGAAAATCAAGTGGTGTTTGGAGGGGTTGTTCTGGAGAGATGTAATGTACATACATATATATATATTTACATCTCCTTTTCCAGTGCCTGGAAATCACAGAGGTGTTTCCAGGCCACAGGCAGCTGTTCCTGGATTGCTTCTGGTTTATGCAACATCCTCTCTCCTTTCCCAGTCATGTCCCAAACCCCCCCTTCCGTCTCCTCTTTGCCTAGGGGGAAAATCAGAGGGAGAGCACAGATCGGGGTCTGTCCCAGGGTCCATCCCTCCATCCTCCCTCCCACAACACCCCCCCCCAACACACCTACGGCACCCCCATATCCCCAGCCCTCAAACAGGATGAGCATAGGAGGAGGAGGAAGACAGAGAGGGTGGGAGGAGGAAAAAGGATGAAAACATTGGGATAGGAGGAGATGGGTAGAGGGAGGGAGGCAGCCCGCCAGCAAGCCTGGGAACTCATCCCTACCTCCTCCTGGGCTTTGGCAAACCCTGAGGCTTTGAGTTCCCAGCACAGTTCCTGGGGGAAAAGCACCCCCCACCCCCGCCTTTGTAAACCCCACAAGTGGGATGTGGTCAATCCCATTCCTTCGGCCTCCCACTGATTCAGGGAGGGGAGCTGGAGGAATCGGTGGGGAAAATCAGAAATGGGCTTTTTACAGAGGTCAACCCACCCTCTTCTAGTATGAGTGGGTTTAACCCAGTGCTGCTGCCTGCCCTGTGGCACCCACATCCCTTCCCCAGGGCAGCACAAGGATGCTGGGAACCACACTGGCCTCATCTCTCTCCCCAGTTATCACAAAGGGCACAGGACACACAGCACACCCCCAAAAAATGGGCTGAGCCTGGCCCAGAACATTCCAGGAGGCACCGCTGGTGGAGAAATCCACCTGGTGAAGAAATTATGGGACATGAGGGATCCCTTATCCCCAAAGCCAGCACTGACATCAGACTAGGGATGCACTGGGCAGACGCTGGGTGCCTCACACCTACCTCTCACCCCAGGGTGTCATCTCCTGCCACCACCCCAGCTTGCTCATCCTAAAACCGGCTCTGCCTCCGGCTCAGCCCCAGGGCAGCGAGATGCAGGGTGGAGGCAGCACTGAGAGCCACGGGAGGAGAGACCCAGAGGCACCAGCATGATGGGGAGCTGAATGAGGCCACGCTGGGATGCGTGGTGGGGCAGAGGGCCCTATGGAACCCCTTCCCCATCATGGCAGGGGTCTGTCCCCCACTGCTGGTAGTAATTCCCATACCCGTGTGGTATGTGCCCTCACAGCTGCCATGAGGAGAGTGGAAACATCTGGAAGTCACCCGCAAACGAGCAGTGCTCCTAGTTAATGAGGAAATATGAGCCAGAGACCCTGGGCAGCAACAGGATATCTGCTTCTTGTGCGCCGAGCGAGGCACCCCCTTCCCAGCCAGCCCCCTGCCTGCCCTCCTTCCCCGGGAAATTTCCTGGGGGAAGGAAGGCAGGCGGGAAGGCAGCAAATAGACATGGTAAGGAATAGAAACCCAGGGGTGAGCACCCCATTCCCAAACTGGGCTGTCCCCATCACCCTCCCTTAGGTCCCCCTGGGGAAAGGGAGAAGCAGTGTTTTCTTCTCTGGAGGAGAGTGCTGCATCAGCCTCCTTCGGGCATCAAGTCTGTGAGCAGCAGGGGCTGCAAAGCAAGGTGGGAAAAAGGACCAAGTACCCGGAGACGTGAAGCAGAGACGTCAGATTCCCTCCTCTCCAGCACTGTCCATCCCTCTCTCCATCCCTGCTGCACTCAGCCACCCATAAAACCTTAGCCCTACGCCGGAGGGATGAGCACCAGGAAGAAGGGGCGAGGAGGGGGGACACAATTTGCACAGCCCCACCTTTGATGTTGTAGGAATCAAAGAAAATCCTCAGCCAGGAAGGCTGCAGGGTCACTTGTCTGCTCCCGTGATAAGCCCAATGGCCAGTGTCTCTGTAATGGTGAGACTGGTACCGCTGCCTGGGGCACAGGGCTACAGATGGGATGAAAGATTGGGGCGACTATAGGTAAATGAGGTAGCCAGGCGTCTGTGGTGATGGGGCTGGGAGGGGTCCAGGTATTAGCTCCTGCCCAGGGCACCCATGGGTGGTACAGTGGCTCTGCAGCACCGTCCAGCCCCAGAGCCACCCCGCATTTATCAGCTGAGGTGGATAAACAAGCTGGGAGGCAGAATTGTATGGATTTGCATTCCAGGAAGCTGTATATGAGAGAAGGGGGTCTCAGGAGGGTGCAGCCTCTCTTAGGGAACAGCCAGAGGGGCTGCACCACTTCTGCTTGTACCCAGAGGCCAGGATGGGTACTGAGTTCTGGAGCTGGTACATACCTTGGACATCTGAGGCAGGAGCCCCAGAAAGACAGAATTCAGAGCCCGGCTGGCACAGCCACAAGACCCCAAGGTTTGGGGAGGGGTGCTGAAGAGGGGGGATTTCCTACCGCTTCCTGGAAATGGAGCCCATCCTGGCCCGGAGCACAGAGATGCTTGGAGCAGGGGTGAGGAGGAGGAGGAGGAGGAAGAGAAGGAAGAGGAGGCGGTGGAGAGCCAGCCGCCCCACAAGGAGTGGAGCGTGGCCCCTGTCCCATCTGGAAGAGATTTGTTCTGCATTCCCCGGCGGAGGCGGTTGCCGTCGCCTGGGCTCTGCTCCCCGCCGCAGCCCCTGCTGCAGGGCACGGGGATGGGGGTGAGGGGAGGGAGGTGGAGCCCCTCGGGCTGGGGGAAGAGATGCCCTGGTGGGCCAGGCAGAGGGAGGAGACCCAAAGGAAGGGCTTTTTCCTGCTTCTCCCACCACCCCACCAGCATCCTCTGAGCAGGACATAGGGGAAAAGATGCCTAACATACCTCTGGCAATCAGGGAGGATGCAAATCACTTTATCCTTTCCCTGCTAGCGCTCACCTCATCTCAGACCTAAGCTACGATCTCCCTCAAAGATACAGATTATCTTAGAAGTATCACCAAAATGCACAGTCCATGTGCTCTTGATCCCTAATGGAGAAGACCTTCACAGAAGGCAGAAAACCAACTATTCCCATTTCACAGAAGAAAAGCCTGAGGCCAAGGGGCTGAGAACAGTGACAAAATCCTACTGCTGCTTAGCAAACTTCTGAGCAATACGGTGCTCCTGCCCAGGCACCCCAGCACGGGCCACCTGGGCCAAGCGAGAGGCCAGGCTCCATTTTGACATCTGCTCTGCAGACATCTTGTCATCCCTTCAGTCAGGCCCTTCTTAACCCCAACAAGTCTTGTCTCGCCTTTGCCAGTAGAGACACCTCCCTTCTCCTCCACAGGGCCCTGAATAGGTGCTTGTGGCTGGCCAAGTGCTCCCCAGCAGAGCCACCAAGTCTCGCCTGGAGGTCATGAGGGTGACCGGTGGCACTGATGATGCCATACCCATCAGCAGGTTGCCCCTCTTTGGCACTGATAGGGTCTTATGCCCTGTGACCATCAAGGGACAAAGCAACAAAGCGTGATACCAGAGGGATGCAGTGTCCCATATGTGGGCAGAACGCCCCTTGGTGCCATTAAGGGACACCTCCTTTAATTTAAGTGGTGCCATCCCCTCACTCTGGTCTGACACTATGCCGCTGATATGACACTTGTCCTGACCCCATAATTCTTGTCCCGACCTCATAACGCCCATGGGACCCACACAGCCTTCGAGGAGGCTGTTATCCCACAGCTAACACTCAACCCAACACTACCCACAGGTCCTGCCATGACCACCCACCCCCAGACCCCATTCCTGGTTGCCTCTACCACATCATGGGCACTGGGGACTTCCCATCCAACGTGGGATGGTTCAGCACCCTGTGATACATGAGGGGGGTCACACACAAGGGTGAAACCCCTTTCCTTTGCCCCTGGCCAGGCTCCCCTAACCAGGTTTGCTGGTGACCTGGTCTTCCCCCTTCCCCCAAACTCATTAAAGCTGGCGCCTGGGAGTAGGAGGCAGCTGATGCTGGAGGACGGGAAATGGCACTGGGGAAGCGGGGAGGGGAAGGTGGGGGGGAGCGGCAAAGAAGTTCCTGAAGTTTTCTGTCCTGGATAGTTGGAATAAATCTCATTTTCTCTGGTCTCCTTGCCGAGGAGAGGATTGGCTCGGCGGTGCTGCAGCCCGCCCTCCTCCTTCCCACGTCCCCTCCCCGCCAGCTTCGCTCCCTCTCTCCCGTGGCATCGGGGCGTCAGCCTGGGAGAGCCAGCCTTGGGGGGACAGCCGTGGGAAAAGGGAGGGGAGGGGAACGACTCCCCTTTCTCCCCTCCCTGCTCCAGGACGCGGAGCCGGTAACCCTCGGAACAAGTTACAGGGGCCCACGGAGAGCGTCTCCCAACTTTTCGGCTGGAGGACGGGAGGAAAAAAAAGTACTAACCCTGATTCGGACGAGGTAAATCCTGAAAGTTTCGATTCCTCTGTATGGAGAGTTGGGGGGATTTCGGGAGCAGAAGGGAAAGGGTGGAGAGGGTGGTAGGAGAGGGGAGAAGCGGGAGGGGTGGCAAGGCGATGGGGATGGGGAGGATGGCGAAAAATAAAGGGAGAAGAAGGCAGGAATGCAACAGGAAACCGGGAGGAAGGAAAGCGGGAGCGAGGAGAGGGGACACAGGAGGGGGGCGGGCGGGGGGGGGGGGTCAAGAGAGAAAGGGGGGGGAGGAGGAAGTCCCAAGGAAGAGAGAAAGCAGCTGAGCACCCCCATCTTGCACCCTGCTCTGGATACCCCTCGAATCCCCACGGGCTCTCAGGCACTTCAATTTTGGGGGTTTGGAGGAAGAAAATGAGCACTTTTTTGGCAAGGGGGCAGGGAGAGGATGGCTGGAAAGTGCCCGCCTTTGGAGCCCCAGCCTCCCTCCATGTCCCAGCGTGTCTGCTCAGAAAAATACCCTTGTTATACGGAGAGATATAACAATATAGATATATATAGCAGCCGGCAGCACAGGAGTTGAACTCGGGCTTGTCCGCCTACTGCCCGGCACTGCTCCAGGGAAGCTGGAAGAGGCCCAGCCCGGCCAGCCAAGCCTTTTTCCCCCTTCCCCAAAAGCCTGTCCCAGCCGGCTTTCCCCATCCCAGAACAAAGTGACCCAAGGGGGGAGCCTCTGCCTCCCTTCCTCTGGGGAAAAGGGAGGTTTTTCGGCATTCAGGAAGGCTGGGAAAGCCTTCCTCAGCTGCCCACAGCCATTTCCACCCGCTCTTCCCCTTGTTGAGACCACCCCAGACATTTCCTCGCCCTGTTTTGGAGTATGTCTCCTTTTGGGGGGGGCGGAATGGGATGGGGAGGGGGGAGAGTTATGTGTAAGAAGAGGAGGAGGAGGGAAGAGGCTGCTTTCAGCAGCTCCAGCCAACTAGACATCTGGATTATTTTCCCCCCCTTTCTGGTTTCCGCTCTTCCCAGCAAGCAGAACAGCTCTGGCCATTCCTGGCGAGTGGAAAACCAGTGGAAACCAGCTGAACTCGGGGGGGAAACAGGGGAGGCCAGGCTGGGAGGAGGAGGAGGAGGTGCCAGCGGCTGGTCTTTGAGGGCAGGGGGCTTCCCAGAGGAGGTGAGGAGGGAGCCAGGAAAGGGAAGGTTGGGACGAGCTGCGGGGTCATTGTGCCAGGGTACGGCAAACGTGGCGGGCTGCCGGACAGAAGCGGCGTGAGGATGGATGGGTGGCCGGACAGGGGGTCCCCATGCCCAGTGGAGGAAAGGAGAGTGCACGTGTCAACCCTTTGCCCTCAGAATCACGAGTTTTCCTGGCACAGAGGAGTCCGCTTGGGTGGAAGGGAGGGCTCAAAGGGGCACAGCCAGCAGGGAGATGCACCGGGGGCAAAGAGAAGGAGGAAAAGGGGGAGATTGGAGGGAGAAAAAGCCCAACAGGCCTGCCAGAAACCTGCCATCTAGGTAGGGTTGGGCACCAGCTGCTTCCCTCCTTCCCTCTCTCCCTCCCTCCCTCCTCTCCCAGTGCCTGCTGCCTGCCAGCAGGCAGCAAGAGCTGGGGGCCAAGAGGTGCTGGCTCGTGTCCCTGTGGCAGCCAAGGGACAACGAAAGAGAAACACTTTCCTCCTCCTGGCTCCCAACTCAATAGTTTTCCAGGCAGGGAGCAGGAGAGCAGGGAGCTCTCCTCCTGCATCCCCCTTTCCCTCGCCTCGCCACCCGGTCCCTGGGGTGATGCCAGCCTGCAGGGCAGCTATGCTGTGGGGAGGACTTGGAGGAGGGTGGGGAGACCACCCCTCAGATTAGCTCTGGCTACTGCAGCACATGCCCCATGTCATGCAGGCACCACTGCTGAAGGGCACAGTCTCAGCTTTGGGCTCCAAGACCCATGGTGTGCTGCAGAGACTACGCCTGGTGGCATTCCTTGTGCCCCAGGAGAGTCCTGACCCAGTTCCTATAGGTGGGCTTCTGCCCAAGAGAGGAAATTGCTCCCCAGTTGTCCTCCCACACCAAACCTGGTGTGCCTGGCCCTCCCCACCTGCGAGCCAGCACCACACCGGCCTCCGTGAGCAGGGGGCAGACCCAGTCAGCGCAAACCAGGGACCTGGGAGGCCAGCAGGAAGCCAAACTGCCCCTGTCCCAGCTGCCACCGGCCACTGCCACCCCAGGAGGCAGCCAATGGTGCTGGGAGCCTCAGGGGAGGTTTGTTTTCCCTTCCCCAGGCATTAACCCCTGGCAGATAAGAGGGGCCCTGGGTGAGCAAACACGGCCAGGGCAAGGCGAAAACACGTGTACCCGGCCAGGAGAGCAGCTCCATGCCCAGGGTTCCCCCTCGCCAGATGATTTTCCTCCCTGGCACTGCCTGCCTGCTCCGAGGTGACCTGGGGACAGGCAGGGGAGGCAGACAGCAGCAGGGAGACCCTCAAGGGGATGGAGGTCCCAGCATGCTGGGAGCAAGGGATGCGAGGCTTCTGTGTTGCCTGCCCTCCGGCCCCAGCCCTGCCGAAGAGACCCAGCTCCATCCTGTTCCCCCAACCCCTGAGCGGGGATAGAGCCCAGGGAGGGACACGTCCCCAGGTGAGCACCCACACCACCGATGCTCTGAGGTGCCCCACGCCCCAAATCTGCTCTTTTCCCCAACCTGCCATCTCCCTGTTGCCCCACACCCCAATGGAGGTTCTGCGAATCTCAGCGTCCTCCACACTGAAGGAAGGTCATTGCCCTGCCATCCTGTGCCCAGCTGCCGCCTCCCTCCCTGACCCCCAGTGCCTCCAGGGCCCACTGGAGTGCAGGAACCCATCCTGCCTTCTCCTCCAACCTCGACCCACCACTTCCCTTGGCCTGCCTCAGTTTCCCCTGCCTGCAAACAGCTGCCCTCTTGGCACCCCCATCTCCCTGCTGCTCCAACGCGTCTGCTCAGCGCCTGGGGACCCAGCCAAGGGAGGACAAACAAAACAATATATAAATATTGCATTTTGCCTCTCCACCACCCCTCCTCCCCGAGAAGCACGCGGTAGAGTTATGTGTAAGAAGAGGAGGAGGAGGGAAGAGGCTGCTTTCAGCAGCTCCAGCCAACTAGACATCTGGATTATTTTCCCCCCCTTTCTGGTTTCCGCTCTTCCCAGCAAGCAGAACAGCTCTGGCCATTCCTGGCGAGTGGAAAACCAGTGGAAACCAGCTGAACTCGGGGGGGAAACAGGGGAGGCCAGGCTGGGAGGAGGAGGAGGAGGTGCCAGCGGCTGGTCTTTGAGGGCAGGGGGCTTCCCAGAGGAGGTGAGGAGGGAGCCAGGAAAGGGAAGGTTGGGACGAGCTGCGGGGTCATTGTGCCAGGGTACGGCAAACGTGGCGGGCTGCCGGACAGAAGCGGCGTGAGGATGGATGGGTGGCCGGACAGGGGGTCCCCATGCCCAGTGGAGGAAAGGAGAGTGCACGTGTCAACCCTTTGCCCTCAGAATCACGAGTTTTCCTGGCACAGAGGAGTCCGCTTGGGTGGAAGGGAGGGCTCAAAGGGGCACAGCCAGCAGGGAGATGCACCGGGGGCAAAGAGAAGGAGGAAAAGGGGGAGATTGGAGGGAGAAAAAGCCCAACAGGCCTGCCAGAAACCTGCCATCTAGGTAGGGTTGGGCACCAGCTGCTTCCCTCCTTCCCTCTCTCCCTCCCTCCCTCCTCTCCCAGTGCCTGCTGCCTGCCAGCAGGCAGCAAGAGCTGGGGGCCAAGAGGTGCTGGCTCGTGTCCCTGTGGCAGCCAAGGGACAACGAAAGAGAAACACTTTCCTCCTCCTGGCTCCCAACTCAATAGTTTTCCAGGCAGGGAGCAGGAGAGCAGGGAGCTCTCCTCCTGCATCCCCCTTTCCCTCGCCTCGCCACCCGGTCCCTGGGGTGATGCCAGCCTGCAGGGCAGCTATGCTGTGGGGAGGACTTGGAGGAGGGTGGGGAGACCACCCCTCAGATTAGCTCTGGCTACTGCAGCACATGCCCCATGTCATGCAGGCACCACTGCTGAAGGGCACAGTCTCAGCTTTGGGCTCCAAGACCCATGGTGTGCTGCAGAGACTACGCCTGGTGGCATTCCTTGTGCCCCAGGAGAGTCCTGACCCAGTTCCTATAGGTGGGCTTCTGCCCAAGAGAGGAAATTGCTCCCCAGTTGTCCTCCCACACCAAACCTGGTGTGCCTGGCCCTCCCCACCTGCGAGCCAGCACCACACCGGCCTCCGTGAGCAGGGGGCAGACCCAGTCAGCGCAAACCAGGGACCTGGGAGGCCAGCAGGAAGCCAAACTGCCCCTGTCCCAGCTGCCACCGGCCACTGCCACCCCAGGAGGCAGCCAATGGTGCTGGGAGCCTCAGGGGAGGTTTGTTTTCCCTTCCCCAGGCATTAACCCCTGGCAGATAAGAGGGGCCCTGGGTGAGCAAACACGGCCAGGGCAAGGCGAAAACACGTGTACCCGGCCAGGAGAGCAGCTCCATGCCCAGGGTTCCCCCTCGCCAGATGATTTTCCTCCCTGGCACTGCCTGCCTGCTCCGAGGTGACCTGGGGATAGGCAGGGGAGGCAGACAGCAGCAGGGAGACCCTCAAGGGGATGGAGGTCCCAGCATGCTGGGAGCAAGGGATGCGAGGCTTCTGTGTTGCCTGCCCTCCGGCCCCAGCCCTGCCGAAGAGACCCAGCTCCATCCTGTTCCCCCAACCCCTGAGCGGGGATAGAGCCCAGGGAGGGACACGTCCCCAGGTGAGCACCCACACCACCGATGCTCTGAGGTGCCCCACGCCCCAAATCTGCTCTTTTCCCCAACCTGCCATCTCCCTGTTGCCCCACACCCCAATGGAGGTTCTGCGAATCTCAGCGTCCTCCACACTGAAGGAAGGTCATTGCCCTGCCATCCTGTGCCCAGCTGCCGCCTCCCTCCCTGACCCCCAGTGCCTCCAGGGCCCACTGGAGTGCAGGAACCCATCCTGCCTTCTCCTCCAACCTCGACCCACCACTTCCCTTGGCCTGCCTCAGTTTCCCCTGCCTGCAAACAGCTGCCCTCTTGGCACCCCCATCTCCCTGCTGCTCCAACGCGTCTGCTCAGCGCCTGGGGACCCAGCCAAGGGAGGACAAACAAAACAATATATAAATATTGCATTTTGCCTCTCCACCACCCCTCCTCCCCGAGAAGCACGCGGTCCCCAGGCCTCACCTTCTCCCCAAGGGTTCATCTGAATAGCAAAAAGAAGGGAGAGGTTTCTCGCCCCGGGAGCCCGGACAGCCGGGCAGGGCACCGCTCCGGGAGGAGGTGCTGCCTGGGAGGGAGCATGGGTCTGGAAGAGCTGCTTTGCAGACAGGGGAAACTGAGGCACACCAAGGGAGGTCAGAGGGGTGAGGGAGAGTACGCATTTTGGGGGGAAATCCTTTTTCTTCCTCCCCAAGAGGATGGTCAGACAAGGGGGACAGCCAGTAGCAACTTCCCCACCCTTGCTCATTCACCGCCTTTAACCTCCCCAGCTGGTCCTTGGGGTACAGCCAACATGGTCGGGAAAATCCTCTCCGAGGGCTTCACTATTCCTCTTTTCTTGTTTAGGTGGCCAGCGAAAGGACTGAGGCACCCACCTCAAGCTCCTGCCCCATCTGTGGCCGGCTCCCGCTCACCTGGCAACAGCAGAAGACAGTGGATTAACCCCTAAACCCACGTCCAGAAGCAGCTTCCAGCGGCTGCTGCAGCACCGGGAGTGACCTCAGAGCTTCCCCAGGGACACCTCCACTCCACCACCATCCTCACCAGTGAGGACATCCCCACTGCGGGTGATTTCATGAGCACAACGTAGTGCCAGGGAAGCAGGCACCACTGCCACCCGCTGAAAGCCAAGGTGACTTGAGCCATTCCTCCAAGAGCATCGGAGCCGGAGCCATGAGGAGGCCAGGGATGTGACAGGCCACCCCAGTGTTGGAAGCCCAGCGAGGGCTGGTTTTAGGGCCATTTTCAGGGGCAGGGGTGAGGTGAGGGGTGCAACATGAGCCTGGGGAAGCTGCCGGTGCTCAGCTGGGTGTCGGGCTCCCATGGCAAGCGGCGGCTGAAGTCGGAGCTGACGCCGGACATGATCAGCCCGCCGCTGGGGGACTTTCGGCACACCATGCATGTGGGGCGTGGGGGCGACGTCTTTGGGGACACCTCCTTCCTCAGCAACCACGGCGGGGCCGACACGGCCAAAGCCAACAACTTCTTTGCCCGGACGCTGCGGCATGTCCGCCGGACGCCGCTGAGGAGCCGGGGCAGCGTGGACCAAGCAGGGGCATCGCCTGCCCCCCCAGCCATCTCGCCCATCATCAAGAACGCCGTCTCTCTGCCCCAGCTCAACGAGGGGATGTACGACGGCAGCAGTGGCCGGGGCTTGACCAGCAAGTTCTCCTTCAAAAGTGCCTCCAACAGCTTCTCCAAAACACACCAGGCCTACGGTGAGTGAAGCGCGGGGCAGGGGCTGGCACCGGCATAGCACATCCTCTGCAGCCTTTCTCCATCACTCAGTTTCCCCCCTGAGGGGCTTTAGGCTCTCAGTGGAATCAGGACATTTAAGAGTCCCTGTGAGGAGATAACTCTAACCTTGCTTTTAACTGCTGTCCTTCCTCCTTCCCTCGGAGGGTGTCCTCCCAGGGTACCCCGCGCAAAGTAGGGCAGGGATGGTTTCTCCTCTTCTCCTTCCCCCATAGCCCTACACAGTTGGCAGCCTCTGTGGAGCAGTTGTAAGAGGGTGGCCCCTAATTCCCCCCAGCCTGATGCCTTCCCATGAGCAGCTTCCCCAAGGAAGCCAAGAGGGTGCCAGGACAGCGGGGCAATGCCCACGTCGAGGTACCAGGCTCAAGAGGACCCATGGCACCGTCTTTGCCACCTCAATGCAGATGCCCCAATCTTGTCCCTGGCTGTGGCAACCCCACCATCTCCATGTGGTCCTCAAGGGAATCCATCCTCCCCCTCTTCCTCATTGCGCCTGCATCCCTCCCTGCCGGCCAGGATTTCGGAGGGACCTTTGGGGAAGGGTTGTGGGAAGGACGGGACAGCTCTTCTCCAGCCTCACAGAACTGGGCTGTGGCTCAGTTTTTGCCCAGGGAGGTCTGGAGCAGAGGGTCTCGGTGGGAGGACCTGGGCAGCCTGCAACAGTCGGGGGAGGTGGCTGGGCTCAGAGGGGAAGGCAAGCTAAGGCAATGCTGCCATCTCCTGGTCCCACCTGCCTGACTCAGCCCCCACCAGCATCTTACCAAGCCCAGAGCCCACCTGGAGACATCCTGCTGCAACTCTGGGCTTTGGAGATGTTCACACAGACACTTGCCTGTCCTTTAGAGGTCAGTGCCACTGACGGGAAGGAGTCATGCCCCACTTCAGTGGCAGCGTCCCTTGCAGACGTAAGGCAGGCTTCCTCCCGTGTCCCCCGCCTCACCAGCCATCTCTTCTGCTTTGCAGGGCTGGAGTCTGGGTTTTGCACCATCCCTCGTGTGCCCCGCTTGGAAAAGGCCCAAGAGAGCACCCTTACCGTGGAAGACGAGCTGACACGCTCAGACTCCCTGCTCTCCTTCCGCCTGGACCTGGGGCCCTCCCTGATGAGTGAGCTCCTTCAGGTGATGAGCTTCTCTGAAACCAACGGAAATGAGGCAGGGGAAGATGACCCAGACCTCCTGTGCAGTGAGGGGACCAAGGATGGGGTCTCTCCAGCATCAGCTGCATCCCACGGAGAGGACAAGACAACATCCAGCTTCTGGGACCGCTCTGGGCAGAGCAGCCTGTCAGGGGCCAGCTCGCTGCCGGGACTGTCCGTCCATGCCAACGGAGATGCACATGCCATTGAGGGTGCTGGAGAGGACTCTGCCTGGGCTTCGGGGCCAGGGGCAGCGCCCAAAGGGACCCCATGGCAGGGGAACTGGAACGACTGCACCATTGAGGCGGGAGAGTTTGACCGGGCGGCCCAGGTGCTGGCCCGCCATTATGGTGGGACCAGCACCCCGAGGAGCTCAGAGAAGGGCAAGAGTCCCTGGCAAGCCCAGACGCAGACCCTGTGGGAGAGCCCCAGCAGCAGCTCCTGGCGGTCACAAGTGACAGGAGAGAGACGGTCCCCCGAGACCACCTGGAACCAAGGAGAGGAGGAGGAGGAAGCTGAGCTCTCCACCCTGCAGGAGGGGTATGCTGGCGCCCGGGGTGGGCGCAGCAATTCCTTTGAGTACGCCGACGATGAGGAAGACGATGAAGTCAAGGTGTGAACAGCCATCCCCACCATCATGGACCCCCCCCCCGCCAGAGGCACCGGTGCCAGGGTCTTTGCCCTCCTCCCCATCTCCCACCCTCGGGTGCCAGCATCACCAGTGGAACCAGCAGGCAATCTCCTTGCCAAGCTGGGGACACCGGTGGGGACTGGGGGGCAGGAGGAGAGCCTGTCTCCTGAGGGACTCCGTGGGCCAGGCTGCTGTGGGGGACCAGTGAGGGCTGTGCATCACAGCCTTTCCCTGGCTCACTGCCATTAGACACCAAAGGGACATTGCCATGTGCCAAAGAAACCCCAAACTCCTTCCTACCCCCATCCCATCCCCTCTGCTACCTTCTCTCCCGTCCCTCAGCCTGGCGCTGCCAGCATGTCTGGGGACATGCCCTGTCCTCTGATCAAAGCCCCCAGCCACCCTCTGTGCTGGCACAGGTGCCCTCCCAGAGATATTCCCACCAATAGCTCTGGCACATAACAGATGGGGGGGATCTCCCCAGCTTGAGCTGGTGCATGACCTGGGGAGGTCAGCTGGGGGCTCAAGGGGCAGGCAAACCCCACAGAGCTGAGCTTTCTCTTCTTCCCTCCCCCCCTGCCGCAAAAAAGCCATGAACTCAGAGTTCAGGAGACAAGAGCACACACAGAAGTAGTCGCAGGGGTCTTTCCACTTGCCTCCTGCCGCTGAGTGTCACTTAGGACGGCTCCTTTTCTGACCCCTGCCTCCTCACAGCAGGGAGAGGAGAGACTTCTTGGCTGGCTGGAGGCAGAGGCGAGGTTGTCAGGTCACCAAATTCTGCATTTTGGGCCCTAAAAAATTCCTTCCATTTCCCCCGCCTCAGAAGAAGGAGTCTCCCACTCTGCCGCCACTCGGTCTGTGCCACCTCATCTGCATCCTAGCCCCTTCTCCCCATTCCCCACGCACACACCCCTCTTTCCAGCATGCCCCTTCCCAGGAGTATGCACGGAGGATGGCTAACACCCCTCGCCAAGCGGCCCTGGGCGACACGGCCGCCCTGGAACGAGCTGCCCCCCACGCTGCCCTGCGTGCAAACCGGCCCTCACAGAAGCCTCTTTGTGCCACCCCATCGAGCCAAGACGCTCGGGGGCTGAGGTCACTGGAGGGACCCTCACAGGACCCCCCTTGTTCTCCGGGATAGGAGGGGGTGTGCGGCAGGGGGAGATGCTGGGCCGTGGCCGCAGGGCTCCGCTCCCACGCAGCTCACCCGCCGCCTGCCCGGCTGCTTATGGCAAGGAGCTCTTCAGAGCAGAATAAAGAGGCTCTGGCACGCACGCGTGTTGTACGTGGGAGTGCCACTCGCCATCAGGCCATCGATGTTACGGGAGAGCCCGTCTCCCCCAGCCTCCCCAGGCGGCTGCCTCGTGCCAGCCAGCAGCAGCAAGCCAGGGCGGGCAGCAGCTTCAAGGAGTCCCCAGCTCCGGCCACTGGCACCCAGCAGGATCAGCCTCATCACCCCTGCACCCTCTGGGGTGGGGACCCTGGCTCTCAGGACAAGCTTCCCCCCACCCTCTGCTTCCCAGAGCATAACACAGGCTCCAGACCAAAGACCCACATCCGTGGAATATCCTTTCTGCCTCCACTCTGTATCCCATGCACTTACTGTCCTTATTAAAGCAGTTTTGATACTAACTTCCTCTGGTGCCTCCCCTCTGCTGCAGCAACCAAAGTGTCATCTTTGCTGTGTCTGCCGGTGCCCCAGCCACAAAATCCCATCCTCCCCACCCTCAGTGGGATTTTCCAGCAGCTCTGGGATCCCTGGATTAACTAGCCTGGTACTTTGCCACTCAACGTAGCTAACACGAAAAGCAACCTCCTATCCACCCAGCCCTGCAGAGCACACAGGAGGAGGGTGCAAAGCTTCTTCTCCAGCCCAGCAACAATTCATTTACAGCCTGAAGCAGATGGGCCAAGCTGGCTGGGCTGCAGCCCCCCAGCCCCATCAGACATCCAGGGTGGGCAGTGAGGAAGAGGAGAGGAAGGGCAAGGGCACTGCCACCTTGCCTTGGACTGGGCTCTCCTTAAGTTGCTCTTCTACTCCACTTTCCTCCCACCCAGCCTGAACCGCCCTGATGTTTGCTGTCACACATCGGTCTCACTTAAGGCTGGCGAGACACTTTTTAATTAGAGCTGCAGCATCAGATAATCAGCACTAATTGCCTGTAGTCCCGTGCAAGGGACACAGACTGGGAGGTGCTGAGCCACGTAGCCCAACCCAAATCCGTCCTCCCTTCCCACTGCCTTGCCCTGCCTCACTTTCGCTGGGCAGGGTTTGGTGTGGAAATGGAGTAATGGGTAACCCGGCCAGAATGTGCCAGCAGATAAGTGCGGTGAGATAAGGGGGAAAAGCTGGAGGAGACAACTCCTTATCAATGGCAGGAATGCTGGCTCAGGGGCACACCTGTGCTCCCTTCCCGTGCCACCCCTTCCCCTGGTACCGCTCCTGTGGGAGGGCAAGGCACCCCTTCCTCCTGCCCGCTGGCTGCAAGAGCAGCCAAGAGGAACCTGCCAAACTCCTGCCCTGAGGTTCCCAAACCTAACATTTAATGGTGCGCTTTTGTGGCACCATATGCCACATCAATCACGTGAATGCTTTGGTTTCCCCCCCTCCCAAAATCTCGGGTGCAGGAAGAAATGGTGCATTGTGAAGAGATTACACAACCATTCCCCAAGCAATCACATAGTGTCCTCCTCCCCCTCAACCCCACCTACTGCCTGTATTGCCCTATATACCATCCATTTATCTATGTACCATCTATATACCAGACCCATATCCTGGTCTGACCTGGAAAAGCACCTGGCGTTATCAGGGAGCTATTTCCCTCCAACAAAGGCTCCTTTCCTGTTGGTGGAAAAACCTTGGGCTGCACAAGTGCCTCACACAGAGCCACAGACCTCACGAAAGCCAGAGCAGCTGGAGTCTCTCGCTGCTCGGGTTTTTATTAGATCTAGAAAGTGATGTCCATCAGTCCAGCTTGAAGGAGGTGACCCTGAAGCCTCCCTTGATGCTCATGTAGCTGATCTTGTCATAGCAGTGCCGGTTGGGGAACTCCACTTCATGCCCGTCTGGTAGTTTCACCACGAATTTGTCTGCCAGCATTTCAACGACCATCTGGGAGAAGAGAGGGGAGGAACGGCAGGAATTGGAGACCAGGAGGAGATTAGGAAGTGAGCGTTCAGGTGAAAGGCCTGACTGTTACACCTGAGGATCAGACCTGGTCCTAACAGCCTTAAGCAAGGTGCTGGGGGTGATGCAGGAAATGACCAGTCGATATTAAGGGTCTGAGCTGGTATCTAGACTATGACCTGGGAACAGGACCTCTCCTGAGGCTCTTTGAGCTACTCGGGTTATAAACTCAGAGCAGGTAAACCCAAGCGTGTCTCTATAAGCCACATGGCTTATATTTGCTCTGAATAAACCCGACCCCCCAATGCCCTCAGCAGCTCACCAGGACCTGGAAAAAAGAGCTTTGCTGATAAACACCCACGAGCAGACACAATGAGAATGCATCGCTGAGCCTCACAATTAAAGGCATCATTCCCCAAAGCCGTCACCTCGCCATCCCTTCCCCAAGAGCCAGCCACGACTGAGGAAACAACCTTCCTCTCCACAGCAGTAAGAACAGGATTGCTCCTAAATGCAGCCCTGTTAACACCTTCAGACGGGGTGAGACAGCACCTAGGACAGTATACGTGGCAGGAGAAGAGGAAGGACAGACTGGCAGCATGGATCCAGGAGTAGTGAGGACAGAGGAGCTAAGGGAGAGGTTCTTGGATATTGCTCCCAACCCTGCATTGCCTTAAAGCCTGTGTTTGCATAGGAGGGAATTAGGAAGAGAAACCAGATAGAGAGCAGCAAGATCCTGCTACTTGGAGACCTCCTTTACCTTCATACATGTTCCCAGAGTGCCCACCAGCTAGGCAGATAGGGGGGGCAGGAAGCACTTATAAAGCCTGAAACAGACAGGGCTCACAAAAAGTTCCCAGAGGAAGTGTTGGGGTTTTGAAGGAGGAGTGGAACTGGCAATCGGGACCAAAAATCCTGAGGATGAGGGGCTGTTGGGAAGGAGTAGGAGACATTGGATGGGACTGGAAGGACAGTGCCATCCATTCCCATACAGGAATCTGCTAACCAATGGCTTCCCACCACCACACACACACCCCCACAACCCCATGCCAGCACAGAGCCCTCACCTTGACAGTGGAGCCCTTGGAGAAACAGAGGTGGTCGTCACGATGCTCTTCCTGCCAGGCACTGGAGCACCTGGAGTTGCAGACAATGACAGACTCATTGAAGCGGGGATTGAAGTGAAGTGCCAGATCCGAGGACTTGCAGCCGAGATTGATGCTGAAGCTGTGGGTGAAGAGGAAGAAGATGAGCTGTGCAGGCAGGACGGGGTCTTGGAAGACCTGAGATCCAACACACGGCTCTGCACTCAATTCCTTCTTCAGCATTCCACGTGCTTAATGCCTCCCATTTCCTCATTCTGTTTGGCAACCTGGAGAGCTTGCATGGTGGTGGCATAGGGGCTCCCCTAATATTGAACTGCATTCAAGCTTTTTGTACCTGGCAGCCCTGCAAAACCACCTCTTTCTGCAGCCCACCTTCAGTCCTAGCGAGTCAAGGTGGTTTCTTTGTACTTACCCATCCGCATCATCGGATATCTTGCCCTTGATCTTCAGGGAATCCCCAGTCTTCATACCCAGGTTGAGAATTTCAAATTTTTCCTAAGACAGAGAGAAAAAATAGTCTGTGGGGCTCCTTCAGCCACTCCTAACCCACCATTGCAAGTGAGACAGTGCTGCTTGGACAAAGTGCCTCAGCCAGGAGAACATCTACTGCTCTCAGCTGATGTTCCTCTCATGGCTTAAAACCCACAGTTCTGGAGGTCTTACATGGGCTTCTCACTCAGTGAGGGAAGAGTGGACTGAGTGAAGCCAGCAAGCGAGAAAAGGGGTCAGAGAGAGAGGGGAGATGGAAACAGGCTTGTCCTCAGCAGAAGGAAATGAGAGCAGAAGTACAAAGATGGTTAAAGCAGAGGGACAAAGCCTAGGGTTTGATGGACAGCATTGCCTGCGGCCCAAGAAACGCCAATGGTGAAAGCAGAGGTGGCAGTCCCTTGCTCAGCCCTGCTGAGCTGGGGACCCTGGGTGACAGAGAGCAGGAGCAGTAGCCCTTACAGACATCTTCCTCAGAGAACGGAGTAACCAGGCAGGGAGCCACCAGCAGTTTAGCTCAGAAATGCTTCACATGGAGGATGTTACATCCCAAGACTTCCTTGTGGCTTACACATTAACAGCACCTCCACCTCCACAGGGCCCCACAGCGTGCTATTAAGCCAGGAGACTTTGATCCAGAGAAACAGCTTCCCTATGTATACTTCCCCTCATTAGGGACTTCAGGTGATTTAACCAATTCCCAGCCTCCTCAGTGGGCTCCCCGTGGAGGGATCACCACAAATGGCCCTTAGTGGAGCTACTCCAGCCACCACGCAGGACAAGCACCTTCCCAGCTGAACACAGAGGTGCGACACCATGTTCATGTCTTTTCTGTGTAACAGCTTGGCCAAAAAAACCATCTCAGCTCCTTCCCTTCTCGTGGCTCTAGATTCAGCCCCATCTGCAGGGATTGCACCAGCAATCCGTGGAAGCTCTCTGCAACCTCCCATGTGAGCTTCATCGAGACCCAAACCTTTTAGCTTGAGAAGCCATGCCCAGCAGGTTTGATAGCCCCATCCTCCCTAAATTTGAGACACAAGAATGTTCTCCTCATCAGGGAGCATCAGCCCTGCTGTCTTCTTCCCAGGTAAGAGCTACAAGTCAGTAGGCAGTCTCCCAGATTTGGTTGAACAAATTGGTGGTATTTTGCCAGACTCTAGAAGTCAGTGGGAAAATGAGAGGGAGGAGGAGGCTAAGGCTAAGGCTCAGGAGGCCAGAAGTCCCTCAGTCCCCCTCCCAAACCTGGCAGAGAGCAGCTGAGTGCAGTCATCCTGCTGCACAGCCAGGTGAGAGGCAGGTTCTGCCCTTCCCCAAAACTCCCTGAAGCAAGCAGAGGTAAATGCTGATAAGCACTCATTCCCCGGAGGTGTTTCCCATTAGCAGGGGGTCATAAAGCCCAGCAGGCTGGGGAAATTTGTTTGCTGTTGAGGTCATGCAAGCTGTTGATGAAACCTCCCCAGACTGAGTGTGGAGCCAGCAGAAGCAGGTGCTGGGGATGGTGGTTTCTGGTACTGGGTCTGTTTTCCATCATGCTGCTGTGTCCCACCCACACACACCTTCATGCCAACCTACTCCCCTCCAGCCCTACCAGAGAGAGGGAGACCAGATCCCTGCTCCCAAAATACCAGACCATCCTACTGGCTGGGAGAGGTTTCTCTTTCCAGCACCTCACGTTGTCCCTTTGCAGGGACAAGGGCAGGACAAAGACACTGTTTGCATAGTCACCATCAGGGTTAGTTACCTGAACTTGTTTTAAGCCAGCGGGGAGAAACAAACAATTCTAGTGCTAGATCATGGTGTAGGGGATGACTTTGTAGAGTAAGGTAGATGGTTGGACTCGATGATCCCAAGGGTCTCTTCCAACCTAGACGATTCTTATGATCACATCCCAAAACAGACCCTAAACTTGGTCAGAAAAATCCTGTTCTACGTGGCTGGCCAAAGCAACACAGGAACATCACAGCAGAGACAAGACACAGGTCCTGGGCCAGCAACTTCACTTCCCACGCAGACCAGCGTGGGAGACAGAAGGACCACCACAGCAGAAAGAAACATCACTCTCACTGGGAATTACCCACCGATCCCACCGGCAGTGCGTGGGGCTGCCCAGGGGGAGAGCAGCGTGTGCCTGAGGGACGGGGAGAACCTGCCACACGGAGAGTTATGTGCGGAGCTGCAAGTACCACGGATGTGAGAACATGCAGGGAGGGAAGACAGGCAGGAAGGAGGCACGAGCTACTCAGAGAGGGGCCGTGAGATTACATCGAGATAACGTTAACCCCCCTCCTACAATGCTCAGCAGGGGCGTTCACCCCCCTTTTATTTGCCACTGGGAACAATAGTGGGAAACCAGGCAGCAACTCTGCCAGCGCTGGCGACTTCCTTCATCTGCAGAGCAGAACCACCGCATGGTCGGACACCAGCCCTGTGCAGATGGCCTCTCTCATGCAGGGGGATGTGCTCCCCACATAGCAAGGGTCTGAGACTTTACAGACCCCAGAAGAGCTGAAATCTTCCAATGCCATTGGAGTTGGCAATGGGGATGGTGAAGGGAGGGTGAAGGGGGCAGGCTGATACTTCCCTGCAGATGCTGCAAAGCAGAAAGCCTGAGGAAACGGTGATATGATGGGAACGTAAATCCCAAAGAAAGAGGAAATCCGGCTAAAGGGCATCTGCAAAGGAGGTGGAGGCTCTGTGCAGTGAGGAAAATATAAGCAATGGTTGTGGAAGCTGGCAGCCACCAGTGCAAGGGATCCAGGAATCCTACACCCCCAGAGAGATGATCCTACAATAGGGTACCTGCCTGGGAGTGCCCCTCCGGGGCCCCACAGAGATGCTCATCCTGGGCAGTTGGCCTGTACTGGTGTGGGACACCTATGGTCACACCCCTGGCACTGGAAGAGGCTTTGCTGTGTTGCCAGAGGGTGCCTTGGGACAGCAGAGACCCAACTAGCATTTGCTGGTCAGAGGATGGTGGCCATGTCCTGAGGGCAAGCTGAGCTTCACACAGGGAGCGGGTAGGCCTGCAATTTTGCATGAGTAAAAGAACAACAAAAACAAAAAAAATATATATATTTTAAGGAGAAAAGAGACTAATGCAACCAAGTGGGTTTTCAGCCAGAAGGGTGTTAGGGCAGGCCTTCTGTAGAGTGCTTCCACCACATGAAACGTGGCAGCTTCCTTTACAGAAGTTTTGGGGTTAATGGTCCTTCCTGTACTTCCCTCTAGTCCTGGGGAGATCTCAGGCCACCCATGGGATCTCAAGACCCTTAAGGTGGCTCCAGACAGCAGCACCTCATACACAATAGCCTAGAGCTGCCATCTCTACCACAGGGCACCCACACAGCTGTTAAGAACAGACTGAATGCCATGCTCTCCAGAAGGCTGCCAAGATCCTCGGCAGCACCATTGCTGGCAGCAGTATTTATTTTGTTTTCTTACTTGAGCAGGAGATAAGGCAGCTAGGTGTGAAACCCCGAGGAAAACCACAGGCTTCCCTGCTTTGCAGCCGAGGTAGCCTAATCGCCCCAGCTGTGAGAGGTTTCTCAGGGCCTTTTGTGGCAGGGGCAGACCCCAAAGTCCACACCAGCACACCAAAACCGTCCCCACCATCCCTCCCCATGGTGCTCTGAGGAAGGGCTCCAAGGGGCTCGGAGGAGAAGGTAATCAACACATCCTCTCTAGATGACATGAGCTATGCACAGTCCCTTGCAGGGGTGATACGGGTCATCACCAGATGTGACACTCAGCCCAAGAGGGAAAAAGGAGAGAGGGGAAGGCAAGGTGGCCACGTTGGGTGTGAGGATGCACATACCGCTGCCCCCACATCAAACCAAGCTGTGCAAGAAGAGGTGAGAGACCCCCTTAGCACCCTCCCGGAAGGCTGCGGTTTCAGCTCGGTGCTAATTAGACACCAAAGAAGTGGAGGAGGACGCTGCAGAGGGGTAAAGGTGCCTGCCCCATTTTGCACTGGAGGCACTGGGGAGCCTGTGCTGCGAATCAGGCACCAGCATCCTCTCAAGGCAAAGGGAGTGAGAGAGACCGACCATGCATTCTTTCTTGGAGTAGCAGCTGCTCACTCTGCTATTATTTCCTACTGCTTCATATAATTTGTACTCCACAGCAAGCTATTGTCCCTTTCCACTGGCTATTTATTTCCTTGAATAGCCTCTGGGGAAGGATTTCAGTGCGGGAGTAAAGAAAAAAGAAAAACTCCACACAATAAATATCGAGCGGTGACCTGATTTAAACCGTGTTCTCTGACCTCATCTGGGTCCTGATTGCGGTTCCTCCTGGCAGTTGCAATTAAGCCACGTTTCTGCCTTGGCTTCCCCCTTTTATGAAGCCAAGGAGGGAATGCCCCCTGCCTTAGAGGGCTGTGGGGTGGGTTTCAAGAAGCTGAGCCCTGGATCTTCAGAGGTCGGGGCTCAGGACAGGACCAAGAAGAGGCTTCCGTCACCTCCTGATGGAGCTGCTCAGTCCTCCACCTGGCAGTCACAAAAATTCCCAGATAGGTTTGACGGGACTGGTTTCCCTCTTAGTCAAGAGGTGTTGGTTTGCCCCCCAGCAGATAATGCTGCAACCTTCACCCAACTGATCCCTAAGCTCTGAAAGCCAGCCAGCTTCCTAACAGAGGAGGACCAAGAGAACAAAATGTACTTACCTCAGCCAAAGACTGAGGTAAGCAGGAGACTGGATAAGCAGGTCTGTGGATCTGGAGGGTGTGTACAGGAAAGGATTGTCCAGAAGATGCAGAAGACAAGGCAATGATGAACACAAGGAACCTAGTGCCCATGAGCACTATAACCTCCTATCTAAGAGGTTAACCAGAGTGGGACAGTTCCTCTAGGAACCACATTGAATGCTCTGCACTTGGATCAACTAAAATGGAAAGGAGCAAAGGACTGAAGGTTAATCCCCTGCCATCGTTCATGCTCCAGCTTGCTGATAGTGTGTCATCTGGAGCCCCTGTAAGAAGTACGGAAGTAGCATCAACACTCTGAACCTGGGGGCAAGGGATTATAGAGGCCATCAGCCTCCGGTGGGCTCTAGACTAGCATCACCCCTTTCACCTGTAGGGTGTGATTTCTCTTCCTTATGATGTGGGGAATAAGGAGGAGCAAGGGAAAAGCTAGCTGAAGAGCTACAGTGTGGAAAAAAACCCCCACCTTTCTTTAGGGCTAGGGGCAGCAGGGGAGGAGGGAACCTCCACTGAGCAGTGTAGCAGATCAAGAGCACAGGGAAGGACTGCAGCCTCAAATTCCATGTCTCTTCCGACAGGCAGTGGTGCCACAGTGACTGGTATCTGCTATCTCCATGGAAAGCTCAAATGTGCCCTGATGGATTATTTCCATTCCCAGGGCCAAATTATGTCCTTATACCTTTGCAGGGATCATCTGCCTTGAGTAGCTCTGAAGTCTGTGGCAACAATTTTGTGTGGTACAAGTTGTGCACAGAGAGGGGAGGAAGGTAGTTCACGTGCAAGAAAGCTGGCTCATGAGGCATCAGGGCCATTTCATCAACCCAAGCAGCCAAATGAGT